AGAAACACAGAGAGTCAAAGAGAAAACACGCACAAACAGAGATTTTATACATATTTCCTTCTATTTTATGGCTCTCTTTTCATTTTCTCAACAGTCTTTTGAAGAACAAATGATTCTAGTGTTTTGTTATTTACTCTTTTTTATTCATTCAATAACTTATTTAGGTTAAAAAAAATCTCAAAAGACAAGAAAGATTTCCTCCAAGTATTTACATCTAGCCGCCTCTTGAGCTGTCCAGAGCTTCACATTCATCTCCCTTTAATTCACAGACCATCCCACTTTACAAAGATAGTTCAGCCTCTTAGAATCCAGCACCCATTCTGTACCAGACTACCATGCTGTGAGGCCAACATATGTGCTTGTCCTGTGTGACCACTGAGACATTGGCATAGAGACCTGGAAGGTTAGATTTGTGTTTTGAGACAGAGACTCACTATTCATCCCAGGCTGACCTCAGATTCACAATCCTGGATGTTGAGATTACATGTGTGTAGCAACATGCTGAGCTTCAGGTTTTATTTCTTTACAATTTTAATAATAATCAATGTAACAATTTATGAGCTTATAGCTTATGCTTTGAGTTACTTATCTAACAGACACTAAACTTATATTTTTCTTTGTTAAATAATTTCACTTTTATATTTCTATCAGTAATCTATTTTAATGTTTGTGTACAATGTAACGTAAGGGTTGAATTTATCATTCACATGTCTATCACTCATTGAAAAGACCATTCTAATACCACAGCCAAACATCACCCAGTCATATGTCCATCTGGTTCATTAGTCTGCATGCCTCCCTATATACCAATATTGCACTACCTAATGACTGCAGTAGATAGCTTTATACTAAGTATTAAAGCAGGATGTGTGAGTCCTACAGTTTTATTGTTCAAAGTCATGTTGGTCATTCTAAGATCTTATTTCCACAGATGTTTTAGAATTAACTTAATAATTTTATAAATGTGCTGGAATTTTAGTTGATGCCACGAAGGAATTACAGATAAATTAACTTCCTTTAAAACTTGACTTCCTAAGACTAAACTCTTCCAAGCCAGAAACATGGTCTTTAATTCTGTGTAGGTGTCTGTGTCCCCATATGTGGGTATGTGCATGAGAGGGTGGGTGCCCTGGTAGGCAGAACCTTCTGAAGAACAGCAAATGCTCTTAAATGATGAGCCATCTCTCCAGCCCAATCCTTTGTTCTTGATTTGAAGGGAAAGGCTTTCATCTTTAATCAGTGATTGTGATTTAAGTTATAAGATTTGGGGTTTATTGTTTGTTTTGTTTTTATTGGGTATTTGCTCATTATTATATTGATGAAATTTGCTGCAAGTTTTTCCATCAGGCATAATGTAGGCTTATTTTGCTTACACTTCCATATCATAGTTCATTGAAGAAGTTAAGGCAGGAACTCAAGCAGGACAGAAGCTGGAGGTAGGAGCTAATGCCAAGGCCATAGAAGGATGCTGCTTACTGGCTTGCTCTGCATGGCTGGCTTAGCCAGCTTTCTGATAGAACCCAAAAGCACCAGCTTAGGTGACACTGCCCCAAGGATCTGGGCCCTCCACATCAATCACTAGTTAAGGAAATGCCTACAGGCTTGCCTACAGCCTGATCTTAAGGAGGCATTTTCAGTTGAGGTTTCTTCCTCTCAGCTTGTGTTGAGTGGACATAAAAAGGAACCAGCACACTATTAGTACTTTTTGTTATAAAATGTACTTTGTAATCTTGTCTAGATGTTATTTGTATTTTGCTTTTGCTTTTCTGACACAAGATTTGTTGCCCAGGCTAGCCTCAAGATTGCAATCTTCCTGTTTCTGTCTTCTGAATGCTGAGCTACAGCCAAGTGCTACTGTGCACTGGGAGCCATTTTACTTAGTGTTTATCAGGGGTGGTGGTTTGAATATGCTTGCCCCAGTGAGTAGCACTATTAGGAGGTGTGGCCTAGTTGGAGGAAGTGTGTCACTGTGGGGATGGGCTAGCTGCCTGGAAGCCAGCCTTCCTTTGTTTGCCTTTAGAACAAGACATAGAACTTTCAGCTCTTCCAGTGCCATGCCTGCCTGGACCCTTATGTCTTTCTGCCATGATGACAATGGACTGAAACTCTGAATCTGTAAGCCAGACTCAATTAAAGTTTATTCTTTGGAAGAGCTGCTTTGGTCATGGTGCTTCTTCATAGCAGTAAAATCCAAACTAAAACAGCTGGTATTGTATGAATTTTTTCCTGAGGACATTGAACAAACATCTACTCACCCCAGATAGAATGCCAATGACAGAACAAAATAATCATCCCACCCAGGCAGGCCTAGCTTATTAAACCAACGAGTACTTGGAGACTGCTTATAGGAGCATGGCTAAGGGGTTAGTCACAGGGATATGAGTGACCCCAAATCAGCCACCTCTCTCTCTCTCTCTCTCTCTCTCTCTCTCTCTCTCTCTCTCTCTC